ATTACCGCTCTAAAAATCGAAGCATATCATTACGAAGAACATGATTGTTATCTTGAGCATAACTCTACTCCACAACAATACAAAAAGAGCTACATTGGTAAGGTTCAATAATCAAGAGAAGAGTTTTCTCTCTTTTTTTATTTTAATTTGAAAAAAGAATGATGAACAATGTTAAACCTTCGGCCCTACCAATAAACCAATCAAGTGGAGGACACATGACAGCAAAGTAGGAATCAGTCAAACGAAAGTAAAACTGCAAAGCCATTTGGCAGCAAGCTCTCACCTCCAATGCCACCAACTGTCAACATAGATTGAACAGCCACCCCAGATGCCTCAGCCAAAGCCATTAATCCGATTGCAAATAGGCCAACAGATGAAACTTTGTCGAGGGTAAGTAACTTTTCCCGATCAAGCCCTGAAAAATTTTGGGAGGCCAATGCTCGAGAGAACACATTTGTTTTCCAGCGATAAATAAACCATACAAGAGAAAGGATGACAGCCCCCCTGCACGCCTGTGATACAAACTCTGATGCTATGGCAGTTGGTGCAACCATCTTGCCACTGCAAATCAAAGTTTAGACAAATGTTTCAAGCAAAGATCAAGCACACAGTCAACAAACCATTGTGTAATTAAAGAGAAATATGTTGAAGTTTGAGTCACTAACATTTGAGAAAATGCATAGAAGGTAACAAGATATCTCAAAGGATCCTCTAAGGCACCCCAAAAGCTTTTCTCATAGGGAATTTCCTCAATAGATGTGCTTCCAGAAAGTATGGCAACAGGACTTCGCATTGAATACTTGTGGAATCTCCTCAAAAGCCTAGGCATTACCACCCAAGCCAAAAGAGTAGCAGTTAAGGTCATACCAACAGGAGCAATTTCATTTTTCAGATATGGATGTGAATCTAAGAGCTTATCTACATGAGGAGAGAATTCATCAGACACTTCTCTAGCCTTCTGTCCGGTAAAAGATGCTGCATCGACAACACTCTGCCAGCCATCCTTGACTCTTTCAAGCCAGTCTCTTCCAACATCGGGGGGGTTACTGATATCCGCTTCAACACCAGAAGAAGCAAGTGGAACACCAGTATCTCCAGTAATATCCGCCTTCCTGCTAGAAGTTGATGAATAGAATCGAGGGTTTGACAGATAGCCAAGAGACGTAGGAGGGATAGTGTTCCAATATTTCACTGGTGATGCGGGGGAAAAAGTAGCAGCGGGATGTGTACCATAACTTGGTGTGTGTAGACAACATACAGAGGGTGCTCTTAGGAAACCAGTACGTGAGACGTTCTTCAAGCTGTGAGATTCATCTTTGTAGTATTGTTTATTTAGAACAACACTCAGTCTAAGAACTCGGTTAACATACTCAGAAATCTTTGTGTAAGACTTGCAATATTGAAATGAGCACGGATTCAAATAAGATTTGGAGGCACTATAAATCGAATTGAGAATGAAAAGCCTCATGCCAACCAGTTATACAATTCAGCACACGTCCAGTAAATTCCGTAAGAACCAAACTGAACTCAAGATTTATCAATTGAGTTCCAAAACTGCAAGAAAAAATATTCAGCTATGGAAATCCAAGAACAAATTGATTCAACATCACAAAGAATTCACAGCGAGACACATAATAGAAACACAACCAGCATAATTACTGGCTACAATTACATCCATGTACCCAAAACCATAATCTGGAAGCAAATAAATGGAAGAAAAATGAGAAAAAACATAAAAAAACCGAATCAAATGACTCAAATCACATCTCCTATCCTTGCTACACTGCCAGTAAAACAACAATCAAACACAAGTAACTGTTAAATTGAAACGAAATCTTCTCCACTATAATCTTGCAACTAGAACATACGTCTGCAGAAAGTTCAAAATCACTAACCTGTTATAGAGAAATCTGAATGAAGCAACAATTAGTTCTAATAACCTATTCAACTTGATTCAGATCCTTCCCCCGTCTCCATCCTTCGGGACTTCCTCTCTATATCTATACTTTCCTTTCACTATTGCAACTCTCCTTTTACTTTTCCCACGTCTTAGTCTCTCGATTCTGCTTTTTCCAACCACCCCCGAATTTTCGAACGTTCTTTACGAGTATCTTTCACCGTTTTTTGTTTATCATTTTGGAACAAACAGATTCAGAAAATTAATGTAATTAAACAAATGGATATAAATAAGGTTGAAATTGTTCAGTCAATCAATCAAGCTAGGAATTAAAAAGAAAAAAAAAATCAAACAGGAGAGTAGAAATTGGTCGAATAGATAGAGATTCGAAGAATACCAATAACAACAAGAGTGTAGAAGATCGAGGAAGACTGCAGCGGCACGAACAAAAAAAAGATCACGGCGGCGGCGGCGGCGGCATTGAAGAGGAGAGAAGCGGCGGCGACACTGAGCTGGCGAAACGGCGGAGGAGACGCCGTGCAGAAGACTAAGGTATGGCGTGGAGAACGAGTCAGGTATCAACTGGGTGAATTCTCTCCGATTAGACAGGATTTTAAATCCAACTAATTTTTAAAAATTATATATATATATATATATATATATATATATATATTATATTATATTTATTTGATTTTATAACAATTTTTAATAATTTATAAATTAACATTTTTTTTATTAAAAACAACAAAATTAATAAATAATCCAAACCATTTTATTGTTGGACAACTTATGTGATATATGATCGTGCATGTTCTGATCATGATTGTTACATGTGTTATGTGATATTATGCCATGTCAAGTTATAAATTATACTATGTTGTATTATGTCATGTTATATGTTGTGTTCTGATACGATTATGTCATGTTGTGGAACTATATTATAATTTCTATGATGCATAAACATCTCTATACTTTATAATATACATGTTCACCATGATATTATGTGAGCCCTTTTTCTCAGGTGTTCGGTAGTGTGAGCGTGCACTAACTCGACGAGCCATGTCTAGGGGGTAGATATACGAATCTACCTAGTGGGTCCATGTGTGTGTGTGAGGGTCGTGTGTAGATAAATACTACACATCCATGCACAAACTTAAAAGTGAAGCCTAAGATCATGCATAATGTTTTTATGAAAGGATAAATCCCATCGTATTGCATTTGATTGCATTTTCCCACCTCAACCGTGATGTTTCTTACTTAAAATACTCAAGTCACGTGTTACTCTTATTTTTCAAGTAAAGGTAAGACACCCTTGTACGGATGACGACATCACGCTGAAAACCATGAGATCAAAGTTAGGGTAGTTGCATTCAACCCCGGCCCTATAGTACATTAATGGGTATTTTAACCCTGGTGATATACATGATTTTGGTGATCGGTCATACACTCACATATTGACACAGCAAGAATAGTAAAGGTCTATCTAACATGAAAGCAAGTAAAAGGGGTTTGGAATGGGCATGCGGTCATAAGCAATACGTCTTGGACAAGCATGATCGGGACATTCGACATACGGCTATAGGCAACACGTCTTAGACAAGAATGACCATGACACGTGGCTCAATTTGTGAATTTTGTGTTGTCGTGCAAACAACCATAACCAAAGATATTTCTTGAACGTCATATATTGTAAGCAAGATTATTTAAGAAACAAATTTGAAACCCTAATCAAATCGACCATGTCTACGTGCCAATTACCATCATTTGAATTTTTTGTGGTCCACATTAGTATTCATTAAATGCGCTAATGTAGTAGTTTTCAAATTTAAAACATAGTTTTAATACAAGATCCAAATTTTGATTATGTATATCAAATTGAATACCTTCATTATAAATGGTATACTTTTTTTTGTATTAAATATTAGTTAAGAAGAAAAATAATTTGCATTCATAGAACACAAATGTTAATTTTCAGACACTAGCGGTCCTCAGTTCAAACTAAATATGAGTGTTGATTCGAGTTTAAAGTTTTAATTTAGACCTTCACCCTGGGTGGTGTAGTTGGTTATCATGCTAGTCTCACACACTAGAGGTCCTCGGTTCAAACCCGAGCTCAGACATTTTTGAAGTTAAATATTTACTTTTTTCTTAGAAATCTCAAGATATATGAGTGTTGGTTCGACTTCAAAGCGTTAATTTGGAGTCTTTGTTTGTCTGGGTGGTTTAGTTGGTTATCACACTAGTCTCACACACTAGAGGTTCTCGGTTCAAACCCAAGCTCAGACATACTTTTTTCTTAGAACATTCATAGTTTAAGAAATCTCTCGATATATGAGTGTTGGTTCGACTTCAAAGCGTTAATTTGAAGTCTTTGCTTGTCTGGGTGGTGTAGTTGGTTATCACGCTAGTCTCACACACTAGAGGTCCCCATTTGAACCTGGGCTCAGACATTATTAAAAATTATGTTTTTACTTTTTCCTTAACACCATTTTCACCATTTGAACCTGGGCTCAGACATTATTAAAAATTATGTTTTTACTTTTTCCTTAACACCATTTTCACTGTTGATACAAGTTCACATCATTATTTTGGAATCTCACCTTGTCTGGGTGGTGTAGTAGTTTTGGAATCTCACCTTGTCTGAGTGGTGTAGTTGGTTATCATTTTGAACCTGGGCTCAGACATTATTAAAATTATGTTTTTACTTTTTCCTTAACACCATTTTCACTGTTGTTTCGAGTTCATATCGTTATTTTGAAATCTCATCTTGTCTGGGTGGTGTAGTTGGTTATCACGCTAGTCTTACACACTAGAGGTCCCCAGTTCGAACCTGGGCTTAGACATTTATAAGATTAGGTTTAGTTTTCTAAATATAAGTGTTGATTCGAGTTCAAAGCATTCATTCAAACTTTTACCTTGTTTGGGTGCTGTAGTTGGTTATCACGCTAGTCTCACACACTAGAGGTCCCTGGTTCAAACTTTGAGCTCATACATTTTTTAAATTAAATATTTACTTTTTTTCTTAGAACATTCTTAGTTTAAGAAATCTCCCGATATATGAGTGTTGATTCGACTTAAAAGCATTAATTTGGAGTTTTTGCTTGTTTGTGTGGTGTAGTTGGTTATCACATTAGTCTCACACATTAAAGGTCCTTGGTTCAAACTCGAGCTCAAACATTTTTAAAATTAAATATTTACTTTTTTCTTAGAACATTCTTAGTTTAAGAAATCTCTCGATATGTAACGAAACTGAAAAGAAAAAAGAAAGGTCGTCGGCAGAACCGAAGATGCCTGAGTTTTTGCTCCCACACGACCCACAAAGGGCAGCAAAAGGCTGGGATGCCACAGAATTCAACCCCGACCTTCAGCCACCCCAAAATGACCTACAAAGAACAAAAACAGAGAAAAACAAAAAGGAACAGGAAGAAACCCGACGAAACTCTGGCGAGGCCAAACCGGCAGCAAAAGGCTGGGATGCCACAGAATTCAACCCCGACCTTCAGCCACCCCAAAACGACCTACAAAGAACAAAAACAGAGAAAAACAAAAAGGAACAGGAAGAAACCCGACGAAACTCTGGCGAGGCCAAACCATACGAAATCGACGTCGTTTTCGCTCCCACACGACCCACAAAGGGCGGCAGAAGGCTGGGATGCCACAGAATTCGACCCCGACCTTCAGCCACCCCAAAACGACCTACAAAGAACAAAAACAGAGAAAAACAAAATGGAACACGAAAAAACCCGACGAAACTCCGGCGAGGCCAAACCATACGAAATCGACGTCAAATACAAAGAACAAAAACAGAGAAAAATAAAAAGCAACAGGAAAAAATCCGACGAAACTCCGGCGAGGCCAAACCATACGAAATCGACGTCAAAACCTCCATTTTACTCCACAAACGTAATCTCAAAACCTTTTACACACATCAGGGGTAGATTTAGACGAATCCTTTACATTGAACACCGTCGGCAAGGGAGACGAAACGTCGAATTTCCGAACTTCTCCAGGTCCTAGAGTGTGAGGCCTTTATAAACCAAATCTATACCAAAAAGGGGGTTAGGGGGAAGAAGAGACTCGGGAACGGAGGAAAAAAGAGGGAAAAAGGACGTCGGAACGACGTTAACGAGGAGAGAGAAAAGTCGTTGGAAAAACGCGTAGGCAGCCGAGTGAAGAAGATGAAATCAGACCCGAGGGCCGAATCCCGCAACCCGAACCGAACCCAATCACCTTAGGTCAGCCCAGTACCCGACGGTTCCCGCGGCCCAGCCACTTCAGCCCAAAACCCGCAAGCCTAGTCCAATGCCCAACCCAGCCCACCTGCATTTTTCCTTCAGTTGGGTCGGCCTGTCACCCGTGAACGACCCGAAACCCACGAGCGACCCAATAACCCTGCCTCGACCCGAGACCCCTGTACACACGTCGCCCTCTGATTGTGCAACTTGGCACGTCTGCAGCGTGGCTCCGGCGGCTTAATCAGCTCGGCGGCGGCTTCTCGGCTCCTGCGGCTTATTCGGCTTGAAAAACCTATTTCCAGCCCGTTTGTCACCGTTTCGACCCTCTCAGACTTCATTTCGGCCCTGTTTAAGGTAAAATAGATTATTTAAGGTCGTATTTCACAAATTCAAGTTGGAAATTAATTATGTTTGTGAAATACTAACGAAAGTGACGAATGAACCAATAGAAACCAACCATCAATGGAAGCTAGAATGTCCACGAGGATCTAGGAGCTTACGTTATATTCTAGGGAGTACTTCGTCTAAGGCCTACCAAGTAAGTGGCTCACCCGTTGTAGGTTATGCGTTATTTGCTGTATGTTGGCACGTGTCCGTGGATTTGCACGTGTCATTAAATTGTATGCTAGTTTAATGTGCTTAAGTACGAAATCATGTGAACGTGAATGTATGCTATGTATGCTGCTTAGTTTGATGTGATATGTTATGCATGTGACGATATGTGGTCATTGAATGATTATGGCATGATTGTATGGAATATGTGAATGTAAACAGTATGAATTGTATAACATGAAACACGGTAAACTGTCTGGAATCATAACCCCGATAGGAATATGTATGAAATGTGAATTGAAAAATGAGAATGACATGAAGCATGGAACGTGACAGGGGGGTTATGATCATTAATGATAAATGTAGAAGTAAGGGGGGACCTCATGCATTATGCGTGTTCATGCATATGGGGGATACCCCCATCCCATCACGAGGGTACGGACGCGTACATCCAATGGGTTAGTATAGGTTGAGTTCGGTTTGCATCACTAGTATAGGTTAGTATAGGTTGAGTTGTATTTGCATAATAAAGCATAGGGTAGTGTAAGACATTCATTTCGGTTGTATTCCTTGTCCTTTATTTCAATAATGTTCTTTTCTTTTTCCCTTGTAATCATTTTCTCTTTCACGAGGTAATAAAAGGCGAGTGTAAGTCGCATTTATGAATAGGACCCATTTAATATATATTCCGCATTTCAAGGTATAGTAATGACTTTAGATTAAATAGGTAAAATTTAGGGTCGTTACACGATATATGAGTGTTGATTCGACTTCAAAGCATTAATTTAGAGTTTTTGTTTGTTTGGGTGGTGTAGTTGATTATCACGCTAGTCTCACACACTAAAGGTCCCTGGTTCAAACCCGAGCTCAGACTACATTCGTAGCTTAAGAAATCTCTCGATATACGAGTGTTGATTCGACTTCAAAGTGTTAATTTGGAGCCTTTGCTTGTTTGGGTGGTGTAGTTGGTTATCATGCTAGTCTCACACATTAGACGTATCCAATTCAAACCTGAGCTTAGACATTTTTTAAAATTAAATATTTACTTTTTTCTTAGAATATTCCTACTTTAAGGAATCTTCTGACATATGAGTGTCGATTCGACTTCAAAGTGTTAATTTAAAGTCTCTGCTTGTCCAGGAGGTGTAATTGGTTATGAAGCTAGTCTCACACGTTAGAGGTCCTTAGTTCAAACTTGAGCTCTAACATTTTTAAAATCATAATTTTACTTAAATATGAGTTTTGATTCGACTTCAAAACATTTATTGGCTAGTTTTTTTTTTAGGGAAGCAAGTTTTTAAGAAAGTGAGAAAGTTGAAATTAAGATTGAGTTAAAGTATTTAAAGTTTTCAACCTTAGTGTCTACCTGAATATTGATTTCAATGAAGCGTCAAGCCACAAACCTACTAAATGATTTATGTTGCTGATGAAATTTTAGAAGAAGACTCAATATGACATGATTATGTTATGTATGAAATTTGGTGATCATTAGATTATGATAATGGGTTAAACCAAGTGTAAGTGTAAAATGACTAAAATGCCCCTATAATTATGTACCACTAGCTTATGATCAAAGTTATTTCTAAATGACATGAAATTTGATGAGGAGGCTTATGTCATGTTGTAAATGGATTACACGAAGTTACAAGTCCATTGGAATACGTTGAAGAATTAAACCAAGATTTGAGGTGATAAATGACCAAAAGACTCTTACAAAGATTTTAAGATATTTTCAAGATCCTAGAAGACTTAAAATACTATAGAAAATTATATGAGACTCATTTATGATATTTAAGGTAAGTATGCAAGATTTTAAGGGGAGTATGACAACTTTGAAATGTGAACCAAAAGAAAAAGTACGAAACTACCCCTCAAGATACTCTATAAGAAATCAAGATTTTTATGAATGCTTAGTGGCAAGTTGCTTAGGAAAGAATTATGCATACAAAAAAAATGTCCATACTTTTTAAGAATTTTTCTTAGTTGTGCTTTAAGACTTAACAAAGAACTCTTAAAATGAGAACCCGAGTTATTCCAAGATAAGAGCACTTTGGAGGACGAAAGTTTCTTTTAGAGGCATCATGTAACCACGGTAATAATAATAATAAATAAATGATAATGATAATAATAATAGTAAAAATAACAAACAAGTAAATAAAAATAATTTTTTTAAAAAAAATGGTAACCTATCCTCTTACTCTTCACCGTCACAACTCTTCCAACTGGACCTATTACACGATCCAACTTCATCTACAAAATTGGAACGGGTCGGTTCAACCATCATTTGTAGAATTAGAAGTTGATATGATTGACAATTGAATAGTTGCACGGTTGAAGTTGGAAAACATTAAAATGTCAACAACAAGGTTTGAACCTACACAAGTGAAGATAAAGCCTAATAGATTTCAAGTTTATTTCTTTAATCACTCAAACATATCAACATTTGTTGAAAATTTTTATTGTTTTTTTTGTTTTAATTTTGCAATGGTCAATTGGTCAAAATTGACTTCATCATTTGTGGAGATTAAAGGGGATCGGGATTGAATCCCGTCCACAAACGTCTTTGTCGGGAGACTATAAATACCTACAATATGTTATGTAAAATTCAGATTTGTGGATGAATGTAATTCAGATCTCAAATTGAGACGTTTCCCTTAGAAATCCGAGCATCATATTTGCCATTTCTAAGTTTCAAGCAATTCTTGTGGTAGAATTGCACCCGAGCGATTTAATCAAGCCTTGATCAACTTCGATTGTGGAGTGATTCAATTTAGAACAAGGTTTCTAAATCTTGCTTCTAGATCTTCGATCGTAAGAGGTAATCTAATTCTAGCCTTATCTCTGGGTTGATCCAAATTTTGTATAAGGAGATGTTAATTACTTTGATTCAAGGGTTTTTGCTTCAACAAAAGCTTGGATCGTTGGGCTGAGGATTAGGGTTGTCTTATCAATTTGGTATCAGAGCGTAGGTTTACATTTTTGTGGCCGACTCTAGAATTGATTTTATCTTTCATTTTTGCTCTTGTTTATCTTTTCTTTAAATTTGTCCATTTATTTTCTTGTTGTCATTTCCGCCATTCTTCATCAACTTTTCACTTTGTTCTCATTCCTAAAGATCACGTTGAGATCTTGAAAAAAAAAATCTTATCATATTTGTTCTTACGATTGTGATTATAAACAATATTTATCATTTTTTTTTAGATCATTTGCATGTTTATTTGAAGATCAAATAAACTTCGATTCACATCTTTTTCTTCATCTATCTAAATCTAGAACCATTATGTTTGATATTTTTTTCTCATAATCTATGCTTGAAAATAACTTCTAAATTTCCTGAATTCTGTAAAAACGAGAGTTAGATCGTTCTTAAAATCTTCACGTCCTTTCTTT